TCTTGCAATGCAATGCAAATGGATTGCTATATGCAAGAGTGAAAGAGATCATTAAACTCTGATCTCTAGGCTCTTGAGATTCAGATTTTAAGTTCAATATGGTGAGGCTTTAGAAGATTCTAGGTATTTCTTTAAGCAAGTAGAAGAATAAGAAATGTAGTGGAATGAGTTGTTTACCTTATATGGCCATAAGTAAAATGCAGTGGGAAAAATTGGGACCAGGTGCTTCAGCAGAATACAGGAAAATTGTGCCTCCTTTACAGCAGCAGTTCTCAAACCTGAGCTATATTAGAGTCACCTGGAGGGAGTATAAAAACAGATTGCCAGTCCTACCCCCACCCTGAGTTTCTGATTCAGTAAATCTGATGGGAGCCTATGAATATGTATCTCTAGCAAGTGCCCAGGTAACGCTGATGCTGCTGGTCCAGAGAACACACTGTATGGATCACTTTCCTCTTGTCACTAAGACACTGACCATGGACATTATTAAAGTACACAAGTTCCGATCATTCTGGGCTTCTACGGTCAGAGGTAACCCCCAAGATGGCAAGACCACAAGCCCAGTTAGCCCAATGAATGGGAAAAGCCCAATGACTTGGAAAAGCCCAAGGAGCAGAGAATGCCAGATAGTCCAGAGAGGGAATAAAGAGACTCTGACATATCAGACATTATTAAGACAAAAGCAATCTTTAAGGGAGGTGGCCAGACGTAGGCAAGTGCTGTTGCTAAGTGCACAAAACAATCCCAACAAGATTCTTAAAGACCTTCATTTATGCATTGAGCACGTATCTGTCAAGACCTAGTTCTATACAGATACTATGCTAGGTACTCTGGATCTGAAGAAAACAATGTTCCAAGGTTTCTGACCTCTTGGGAGTGTACATTGTAATTGTGGTTGCAATTAATCAGACAAGAGTGTCTGTAACCAAGATTTAATAGGCTGCAATCTCTGGATTTAGTTTAGGAGCTACTTTGCATTCAAGAACAAAAAGTCCCTTGAAGCCCCTCAGGTCTGAGGATGTTTGGAAGTCTGAATATAAAGACTGACAACAAAGCCCAGAAGTGAACTGCCCAGAAACGCAGCCCTCCAGAGGCAACTACAGTAGCCAGATACACAGACCTATAAAAAAGAAAACCTACCCTTGCCTATCAGATGCATGTAATAAGTAAAATCCATCCTCTAGTCTACAGACTAGAAAATGGCATGGTGGGGTCAGAGCAGAAGTGGACTGAAGTCAACGGACTCCACTAAGGGTGGTTCTGGGCCCTACTTCCACGTGAGGTAGCTAGGAGTGTCTTGTGTTACTGTCTGTGGGTGAGCAAGTGAGCATTTTTAGTTGTTTGCTTGGCCGTTCAATTATGTCAGACTTTGGAATTATGTGGTTGTGGAAGAAGGGGGTATATTTCCCCAGAACGGGTAGAATGATTTAGAAAATTCAGTCCTTTGGTCAACCCTACAAGAAAACATACCACCCTTAGTGTATACAGAGGGATGAGCTGCCATGTTTCAACCACCAGCAGCCTTGATCTCAATCATGGCAATCAAAAAGCCTGGGTACAAATACTCTTCCATCAGTAGCTCTGGTTGGGTGGAGGCTGCAGGAATTTGGGGATAGAAATTAAATGAATTACCTTGAACATAATTTAAAACATTCACATATTGACCAAACACAGAGAACAGACAGAAACAAAATTGCATAGAGCTTTAAAGCACACTCAAGGGGAAATCACTAGCCTCAACCCCACATCTGAGGGAAGGTTGTTTGTTGTTTCTTTAATTAGGAAATTTTGAGGGAAAGTTTGAGATGCAGCCGAGTAGCAAAAAAAAAAAAAAAATACAGAAGTAAATACTAACACACAAGGTTAAGCTGGAGGGCTGGCTGCTTGTTATCCTGCTTAGCTGACCTTGAGCTTCCTGATCTAGAAAATGGGAATCCTCCTCATACAATCAACTTGGGATTTAATGAGGGGCTCAAAAGAGAGTAAATGGAAAATGCTGTGTAAATACGAATTATTAGAGGGACTGCAGCTGCCTGCCTCGTGTGCTGCCTACTGAACTGAACCTGCTGTGGTGGTGAATGGGGATCAAAGTTGGTGCTGAAGCAGAAAAAGTAATGGCCCAGTGTGTAAACAGCTGAGTGCACACTCACTACACAAACATCTCATAAATTAATCTTCAGCAGAAGAAGCTGAAGGGGAGGAGAACCAGCTGACCAGCGATAAGGAGAGAAAACAAGAAATGCAACCCAGTCACCCTGTCACTTCGCCACCCATGGTTGATTGAAAAGGAAAATAAGAGCGAGTCACCCAGTAGGCAGGCAAAGCCTGTCCCAGTGCCTCACTGCCTGTGGATTACTGCTACAATGCCCGTGTCTGCTCTGAAGAAATCACTGTAGGAATCTATTGAGGCTCCCTCTAGAGTGTTTCAAGTCCATCTCCTGTTTCAGGCACCTATAATTCAGCATGTCTTTTCCCAAACACACATTCAAAACCTGAAAATAAAAATGTAGAACAAATGCAAGCAAATGACATCATTCTTCTGAGTGACAACTGGGGGCACACTGATCCCATGACCCCGTTAACTGGGGAAGCCTGCTATTGTCGTTTCCCTAGCGAAAACCTTGGCACCCAGCATTGTTGACACTCCCAGGAGAACAACTATCCACTAGATGAAGTATCTTATCTGCGTATTTAATAGGTTAGAAAACTGTCAACTTTTTCATCAAAACTACCACCTTTTTTCATTCAAATCCCTCTTGTAATTCGATTCCATTAAGGCTTTTAAATGCATACTAGCAGCAAGGAATTTACTTGAATGGGGAAAAAAAGCAAAACTCCAAGCTCCCACCTGTGCAGCCATGACAAGCTTTTGTTTGAACCAGAGTATATTATTTAACTTGGATGACAAGCTGGGGGAGGGAGGGGGGTGAGAAGCCGGGTAGGAGACCCTGCCTTTCTGAATACACAGCTCTGAGCACACTGGGAGTTCTTGACAAATAACAGCAGCAAGAAATGCTGTGGAGGGACCTACTTTATTTATTTTTCCAATTGCAGATTCCTGGCAGCATGTATCTGTCCCTTGCTTGCTTTCCTAGGGACCCCTCTCTCCTAGAAGCTCCCATGAAGATGGATAAACCACTAACTTCTCCTTCCAGCCTTCTCGTCCCAATGCAAGTAGGAATACCTGATCAAGCCAAAACACAGATTCTGAGCGCATTCAGGCTGCCTGCTGGGTTTGGAAAGAAACTAAGTCCTCCAGGGCTTAGAAGGGCGTGTGATGCAGTCAAGGGAAAGGCTTTAGCTCTGCCCATGCACACAGCTGTCAGATGGCAAAGCCTGGACCGCCACTGTTACTACCTGCTGTGGGCCTCTGAGCCGGTCTTGTCATTAACCCCAGAGACCAAGTGTGGCCAAAGCCTGACACTAAATAATACTTGGCGGAACTTGCTAGCTTTGCAATAGAGAAGTAAAAGGGGATGATTTTTACCAAGCTTGATCTATTGCATGATAAAGATCTAATAAAGACAGTTCTCAAACATTAAATTGTATACAGCAAGGCTAAGTCATTTAGGGAGCAATGTGGAGTCTTTATGTTTTTAAACACATTATACTATTAACTAAGTGAAGGGGTAACATGTCCCAGCACACAAGTGACAGGCAAGGAGGAACTAGCAAGTGACCATTCTAAGGGGCCTTGCAAAAGACCTGTTTTCCTTCTCCCTGGATAATAAGGCTAATAGTTGGTAAGATGCACTGTGCAGGATAAGGGGCGGGTGGGGTGGGAGTGTCTCTACACACACATGAATATACCTTAGAGCCAGTGTTTCCCTGCGTGGTTATACAACAAATGTGTGACACAACACATTTTCCAAGTGGAGATGTCTCTCCTTCCTCTGACGCATTTTACAGCAAAACAATGGCAACACCTGTAGCCCTGCATTTCTGCTCTTTGATTTCTGTCCAGTTATAAAGGAGGCTCTCAGCAGGCTCCCCTCTCCGGAGCCATATGTGGAGTTGATGTGCCAGCAGCCTTGGAAGGAAAACAGCCTCCAAGAAGTGCACAATGGCCCCACAATCTTCATCCACTGGACTCTTAAACCGCCTCTATCTTTTCCAGTCAAAGAAATGCCACTCTCTGGAGTCAAGCCGAGCTGCCCCAGGAGGCCCGGGGAGACCGCTGCCGTTT